TATTCCGATATGTTATTGTCGTGCATGACACTTGATAAGTCCAAGAAAAGTATTTGTGATGTTAAGACAAAAATCAGTATCAAATCGATGAAAAAACCTACGGTGTGGCTGGGCTGCATTCGCTTGCTGCGGCCATCTGTTGATCAGGTTCTTCACCGGAGGAACACGTCAGAGGGGACGGTATTTTCTAAATAATGTTAAGAATAACGTACATTAAACGATATAAAAGTCAACTAGGTGAAAATGTGGTCTCAAAATAGGCTCAACAGGTATCTACAACATGGAACTATGTAGCGCTTCTAAAATAGATATCGGGATGAAAGGTTGAAAATCTGTGCAGATTGAAAAAGCTGAACAAATTGCATCACTAGATCACCTGAACTCTAACCAACAAAATTTAATTTCAAACCGACATATCCTGTTCTTTTGACGCACCAATCGCGAATAACCCAAACAACTAGCGTAAATAGAAATGTACAAAAAATTAATAGGGAAGATTTGAGAAAACTAAAACAAGTGTTTAAGAAGTGGGAAAAAAACGGAACTTTGAGCATCAAGATTGAAGGACATAAAAAATGCTTTCAAAAAAATACAAATGTCAATTGGAATAAAATATCTCATAGGTCTTGGAAACATGAATGTTCACTCGAAGAAATCTGGAAAAAATATGCTGTGCAATTACCTCAGATCCTTGGGCCGCTCCCTTTTCCGGATAGGAACTGGCTAAAACTGTAGACGTAGGAGGATTAGACGTAGGAGGATATGTGGAAGTTGATGGTCTTGACTAAAGTAATAAAGTGATGCTGTTTAATTAAACAGGTTACTTGGTTTCAAAAAGAAAAAAAGAGACGATGGATATGAATGTAGTTCCGGAATCTCTCTGAAGAAAAAAAAACAAGCGTCCAACTTTCCTTGCAGCGAAATTCAGACCTTGTAAAGAGATAACACAACCACGAAAAAGAACACACCTGAAACTGCGTAAAAGTATGTGCTTGGGATGAAGCTTCACCAACCACCATAGGTCGTTGAGAATTCAACGAAAATCCCATGCCTCCACTAAATCGGGCCTGATTCGGAGGAAGCGCCGAAAAACGATGAGATGGGTAGTCTTGAAAAGGATTGACATTCGAGTGTCCTGCACCAAAACGACAATTGCTTGAGCCTTCTTGCATATTCTGGAATCCAAAGACTCATTGCAGTGAACGAAACGGCCAAAAGGAAATACACCACCACCTCTCGATTATAGGACTGACGGCTGGTGGGTTGTTCCGAGAAATTAGTATCCATAACGAGATTATGTTGATCAAAATCATCATCAGGAGGCAACGGTGCGTCAGCTATCCAACGGTTATCATGCCGAACGGGAGCAGACGCTCTGGGGTAGCCCTGCTCAGACCAGTTGCCACTGGATCCTTAATGGAGAATGAAAATGAATGCGTTCCATGGCGTGAGGGAGTTGAGGGTAGCGAAAACAGAAATAACTTATTCAAATTCTCATTAGGATTTTTAAAGCCGCATTTAAAATGAGGCCCGAAGGAGCGATTAGAAGAAAGAATTTATAAAAACGTTTGCCGATATATCGTTCAAAAGAAATATCGCTAAAAGGAGTACAGCGAGGCTCGGGAAAGTCTGAAAAATTAATCTCACCTGCATTCGACGAGAAGAGAATTTCATCAAGATGTCGTTCGTCCATAAGACCGTCATGCACTATTTGATCCATCAATCCACCCATACCAAGGAAACCGTCTGGATCAGTTGATTGCTTGACGTGTTGCATTTTAGCACATGCCACTTTATGTTGCAACTCGTACCTGAAACAGGCAAAAAATAAACAAATAAATAAAGCTTTCGGTGCAGAAGAATACCGTCCTCTACGTGCCACTTGTCCGAATTCTAACAAATCTACAATGGCTTTCGAAGGCGTACGAACCCTATATAATGGTTTGCTGGAGTCTTAGGGTAATCAAACCGGCGCTCTTCACCCACCCAGTAAATGAGCAAGTTGAAGCTTTATAGAAAACCAAAAAGGACGAAAAGAGGTTCGTTTTTAACACCATCCATCTATTGCAAAGGGCCGAACAGTTAATCGACGACGGTCAGGTCAGTACACTAGCGAGGTACAATAGCGAAGTTACCTACTTCCATCCAACCGTTTTCAAAAACATCTACCTTCTGTTATTCAATACTTTTATGCTTATCTCGCATATCAGAAATATGATAATAAAACGTCATAATTAGGCATGGAAACGTTCTTGGCAAACATTTATATGTACTTAAATCAACAACGTTTCGAGCGCATGACTGAATCGTCAGCATTGCTCGCTGTTGTTGCAAAATGAAAGGCAACAGAAAAGCATGAGTCAAAAGAAAATGGACTTTGGTTCGGTCAAATGACAGCAGGCGTTCGAAAATTGCTGGGCAACACATCGATCTATAGTCTTACTTCAAATGTTCCTAACTCTTGCGCTAATGTTTTTGAGTAAGAATACAAAAAATTCATCCAGCTGTCATTCTAAACACAGCAACACCTTCGCAAAAAAAANAAAAAAAAAACAGATATTGAGAAAATACAAAAACTCCTTTGCACTCTAGCGCATTTTTCGGTTCCTTTTTACTTGTTAGAATCTCGCGAACCAGTAATTACTCCGGCAGTATCGTTGAGTGCTGGCCGATTACTCTTTGACTATATACTCCGAATGGAGCTCACCAAAGGGATCAAGGATGAATTAAAAAATTAACATTTCCATTAATTAAATAATTGCAGCTCAGAGCGGCGCCTACAGCTCGAAAGCATCATCGCACCTATTTACCCCACCCTTCAAACCCTTTAAACAGAGTTACTGTAACTCTAGATGCACCGAAAACCTACAGCTATCACATTTTAAAAGGAAAAAAATTTGATAAGCCAACGGAAGTCAAACAAAACCCACCTAAAAAGTCGAGAACTGCCTTCTGCGGAAGAGTTCAGAGCCCGTTCAGAGGGCACAACCACTCGGGGTCCCGGATTGGTATCTGAAATAAAGTACCTCGTTATATTCTATGTGACAGCCAAGGAAATACAAACGAGAAGCAGGAGAGAACGAACGGCTGAGAAACAAAAACTAATTAAATATTGATTACTCAAAAATGAACACGACTGCGTCATTTTAGATCTCACAATTAGCTCACTAGGCTTTATGGTTAATTATCATCATTTACTTATAATATTCCAACCTATGGAAACGCGGATACGCTTCGCTCATTATAATCTGACTGAAATAGCTGGTTTGATTTAAATAATTTGAAAAATATTAAGTCATTACATAAAACTAGCTCCTGGAGCGGTATCTATACTCACAGCAATGCAGCCTCGAATAAGAAAATGTGTTACAACGACTATGCGCCTAGGAAGCACCTGAACAACACGCTTTCCAGGCGCTCAAGGTATGACTCATGAAACACGTGGTATAACGCCAGAAAAACAGAGTCGAAGCACCTGATAGCATAAAGAACGAAAAATTGCTTGATCAGGGCATCAAATAGTGGAAAAAAACTATCCCTAACAGATATATGGTATGCGTGTACAAGTATTTCGAGAATGAATTTATACCTTTTTAACAATTTACTTAGTTGAAGGATGCCCATCGAAGCGGTGGTGTCGGCTTAAAAGATTATTCTTTGAAAGGCAAAAAGAATTCCCATCAAATGATCCAGAAAGAACCAGAAATCAGTGGCCGCCATTGATTAAGCTAATCAAAGAACACTGATAACAGTGGATGAAAAATGAAACAGCGGACGTTGATTAGTGTAAGCATTCGTCCTGCGCAGAGATAAATTATGACTAAGAAGGTTTTTAACACTTACACGGAATATATGACTTAAGTGAGCAGGACAATTTTGCCCGGGTGTTCTTCATCCCGATCCTTTGATCCTTGGACCATGGATGTGATAATGGCGCCTCTTTCCACCATTCACCTCCCCACCAAAATTATTAGTCATCGACAGTGATAAAGCCGAGACAATATGCATTATGTATTCGACCCCCACTTAAGATTTAGAGCGCCTTATCAAGGATTTGTCTCGGAATAAGAAACTATAAGCTCCACGAAGTTCAAGAAAAAAGCATAGGCTCAAAAGTTCAAAGAAAAAGTTCTCCCACACCAATCGTTGAGTACCTTGAAGTTTGATTCACACTGCTGTCAAATTCTGTTTCCAGAGTTTGCAGGTACTGATAAGTATGATAAGACAGTGACCAACAAGGGAGGGTGGTAGGAATGCTGCCGCACGATACGCTTCAGATTGGGGGGAAAACCAAAGCCTCCAGAAAGCCAGCAGAACCTTTTACTATTAATGATGCGGTAAATCGACACCTCTAATAGAACTTTTGTGCTGAGTGAAAGGTTTGAAGAAAGAAATCGTAAGAGCCGTTCTGAATGATGTGCCCAGCCAATGCCTTGCTCATCACAAATGCAGTAAACAGAACACGCAATATCGATTTACTTGTGTACATGCGCTGCGACAGCATAAACAAAAAGGAACAACAGCAGATTTGTCTTCACTCATTCCCATCACTATCTAACACTGTAAAGCCAAAAAATGAAATGTCAGAATGAAGTGCTATGAAAAACGAAGAGCTTTCTCGTCAGGGTAGAAAGGAGTTTTCAAAAATTTGATAAAAGAAGACGTAAAAAGAACACTTTCAGTCATATCGCCAGCTGGAGGCAGAGAGCTTTGATGAAATTTGAAACAAAAGTGTTAAGAGCATTTGGACCAGAGAAAAAACAGGGTGATTTTCTGTGTACAGTACATCCAATAGGTACATTTTAAGGAGATTAAGAGCTAAATCATGGGAGGTTAACGCAAGTAAAGCCTAGCCAATGTAATATGTAGGTTTCTGGAATTGATTTTTAAGAGGTATCGCAGGGCTCTTGAGAAACGAAATTGTTTTGCGAAACGGAAATAATGATAAGAATTACTGACTAAGAGCTGTATTTTGCAGAAAAGTAGGAATTTTTGGCCTTTTAACACGATAACGATGATGCTGAAATTTCAAATGAAACTTCTGCCAAACTTCGATCTCACTTTACTGAATAGAGGAACTGAGTGAGTAAGCGCTTAGATCAAAAACAGTCCTTCAAATTCCAATGTTATTACTCTACTAATGTCAAAACAACAAAGACCGTTCCTCCTCACTGGAAAACAAAGTCGGAAAATACGACAAAAAACACTCGGATAAACTACTTCCATCACCTTGGCAGACCCAAATTGAAGAGATGTAGTGGTTTGTACGAAAGACCAATTGAGTACTCAATGTTGTAACAAAATTTGCAAAAGGAACAGAAAGAAACCATTGCGAAGAACCCCAACAAACACCTATGAAGCTTTAACGTCAGCAGCCTGCGGTAATTGGGATGCCGTAAATTAAGTGTTGCGTTTGCATGTTGCAGACGCCACACAAGATTTTACGCGATAGAGGCTGAATGCCTGTCAGTCATGGAACATGCTCAACATTAAATAAAGCCTTCGCTACGCTGTTGTGGATATGGACTACGGCAGAGCTGAAGGGCTTCGTTTCAGGACCTCTACCTCAACTTAAGTATGAACATGAGCAAGTGTAAGAAGGGCCAAGCTGGTGTAGGTCCGGTATGTCTTCGAGAAATTCTTCGGGACAAGTACTTTGGTCCAGCGCTTCAGCGCTAACCGCTACATAACTGAAATCTGCATCATCTAATGATATTTTTATGAACATGATAACTTGAATCCATGATATATATAAACCGCTAACTTTGTGTGTCCGTTTGTATGCCCGTTTGTGCGTCCGAGCAAAAGTCACGTAGGCAAATGATTAAATGCGTTATCAATGAAGCGGATACATATATTTCATTATATGAGGATCTAAGATCATTAGCGGTCGAATAAGCCTTGCCAAAAGTGATATCGAAGCAAAGAAGAATCGTGATCCTTCATTGAGTTACAAACTTCAGTGGGAGCGGCCGTAAAAAGCGTTCTCCTGACTATTCACTGTCATGCTAAATCCCTATACTATGGACGATTC